GCGTATACACTCACACACACACAAATACATATACATACATGTACACACATGCACTCATACACACATGTGCATGTACACATGTCCATGCATATATACATGCACATACATGAATACACACACAAAGATGAAAGTTCAAGTAATGGAGTTAGGGTCAAAAACTCATGTTTATGGGGCTGGAGAGATGCCTCAGTGGTTAAGAGCGTGGACTGCTCTTACAGAGGACCTGGGTTCAATTCCCAGTATCCACATGGTGGTTAACAACTGTCCTAGACTCCAGTTCCAGGGGATCCTCTTCTGACATCCAAAAGCATTGCACGACACGGGTGCACTTACACACATGCAGGTAATATACACATAAAATAAAAGTAATAAAATTCAAAACAAAAAAAAACCCTCATGATTACGTTTATAAATGTGATTGTGGTTACCTAGGCTGAGGTCATTGGTATGGAAAAGAAAATAAATGAAAAAATGTTGTCTTGATTTGCTGTAGGAGACAGCGAGTGCTCTTAGTAAGTGCTGCAGTGATTAAGGCATGGTGGGAAACATCCAGCCTATGGCTGTTCTTAGGAAACTTGGAACCTAATGGAGGAGGCTAACATCTACCAGAGTACCCACAGACTGATGGGGCTGTGGAAGAGAAGGGGAGGGCAGAATGATTCTACCTGTATTTGGGAGCAGGGGATACAAGGAACATGACTTGTGTGTGTGCACGTGTGTGAATATACATGTGTGGGGGTGCCTACTTGCATGTAGAGGCCAGAAGTGGACTTCAGGTGTCTTCCTTGATTGTTCTTTTATTTTATATGTGTGTTTTGTCTGCATGTGTGTCCGTGCCATGCCCATGGAGGCCACAGAGGGTGTCTGAAGCTCTGAAACTGGAGTTACAGAAGTTGTTAGCCTCCATGTGCTGGGAACCAAACTCAGGTCCTCTGCAAGAGCAGCCAGTGCTCTTAACCACTGAGCCAGCTCTCCAGCCCCCTCTCTACTTTTTAAACAAACTTTTATTTATTTTTTTGAAACAGGGTCTCCCTGTAGTCCCAGCTGACCTGGAACTCACTATGTAGACCAGGCTGGCCTCCCTCCATCTTACAGCGATCCACCTGCCTCTGCCTTCTGCATGCTAGGATTAAAGGTGTATGCCACATGCCAGCTTGAACAGAATTTAATTTTTTTCCCCTTTTATTTATCTATGTGTCTGTGATGTGCATGTATTACATGTGTGTAGGTGTGCATGTACCATGGCATAAATATCTTGGGACAACTTTGTGGAGTGAGTGCTCTCCTTCCACCTTTACATGGGTTCTGGGAATCAAACTCAGATCATCAGGTTTTGTGGCAAGTGCTTTGCTTTGATCACCTGAGCAATTGTAGCTAAAATTCCTTCTGAGAGGTGTAAACAATGTTGCCCCCTCCTTCCCCTTTGGTGCCTCAGACAGACAGGCTTGATTTCACTAAGCTATAGTCTGAGAAACCAGTGAGTTTATTGGGCTTACTTACAGAGCAATGGGTGAGGGTTTACTTAGAGAAGTGTGGGTGCTCCCTCTGGAAAGCTGCACTGGAATGTGGATGGTGACTTCTCCACAGCCACACAAAATGCTAGATTCCCTCCCCAAGCCTTCCTCAGCTTATATATGCTTAGCCCCTCCTCTTTGTGCAACCAGGGCCAACTGGTTGGTTGGGAGGTGTGACTGATTCTCCCTGCCCCTCCTTTCTTGTGGAAAAGAACAGTCAGCAAGCTGGATTGTAATGATCCTAGGCAAGTGGGTGCAATGAAGCTTGGGAAGAGGGCTTAACTTGTTCACAGTCTGCCCATCCAAAGACAGTCCTGTGCAACAGCAATCTCACCAGTTCCTCTCTACCTTGTATATTGAGACCCAGGGTCTTTCACTTGAACCCAGATTTCAGCCATCTTTTATAGTCTAGCTAACCAGCTTGCCCCGGGAATCATGTCTGCCCCTAAGTACTGGAGCTACAGGTGGACCACCACACTCATCCAACATTTATGTGGGTACTAAGGACCAAAACCTAGTTCCTCATTTTACCTACTGAGTCATCGCATCAGTCGCCAAAGAGATTTGTAAGCTAAGTTGACCTGGCATGGTGGCACATGCCTTTAATCTCCTGCAGAGGAAGGAGGATTTTTGTGAGATTGAAGCCAGCCTAGTCTATACAGAGGGACCCTGTCTCACAAAACAAAATAAAAAACACATTTTAAAAAATTTTTTTAGAAGAGGCATTTCATTACAGCTTTAACATTAACAGTTTCCAGAGCAAAGATACATCTCTTTCAAAAGTGGCTATAAAATTCTTAGGTTCGCTGTTCAATTAATACAGTCATACAATATTGAACTCAGTATAAGCCCTGTAAGACATACAATTGGATGAGCTTTTAACCTTTAAAAAAAAATCTCCATTTCATTTTAAAATATACTGTTTCTTACAGAAAGACTCATTGTTTTTGCTCATAATACTGAGATACTGGCACATGCATCTCTAATCTGTATGTATCTAATTATTACTAGTCATAATCGGCTGTAGTTGGATCCTTGACACCTGTGTCTATAAAGTCATTGGGTAGATTTCAATGGTAATGTTTACCACCTCTACTAATTAACATGATGTAAATTAAAAAACATTTTTTTTTAAAAGCAAAGTTATAGGAGTGAGCCATGTTGGAAGGAAAGGGAGTAGAGATTTTCAGTGTTCAGTGAGCCGGCTGATTGCATCTAAAACAGTGGAATACTTGAAGAGTCTCTTCCAGGTTTGATATTAATTTCTCAGGCTGGGAAAGAAGCAGAGGGAAGAATCCTTTCTTCAGTATGCAACAGATGGGAGTAAGTGTTCCAATACTGTCAATAAAGGACAAGTAGGATGGAGCGTGGATGTGATTTAACGTGACAAGGAGAATTGAAAGTTCACCATACCAGCTGCTAATGGTCATTCTCAGGATCAGCCAGTGTTTTACACTCAGAAATGCATAAAACCTCTAGAAGTGGTGTGGTCAGCTATGGTTCCTCTCACTGCCCAAATCATGCTCCTTGTGCCCTGAGGAAACACCTGGTGTAACCATTCCTTAGAGAGGCTCACTCATCTAGAGATGGAGTTGCTCCACAGATAAATGGACAGCCCTTGTGCCAGTGCAGGCTTCTGGAAGGTGCTGAAGAGGCCAGGGGTCTCAGTGACATCCAAGTTCTCTTTGTCTGCCTTTTATTTAGGCTTCCTAATGAGCAAGCTGGACATAGTATGAAAGAACTGATGATCGTGTATGGTGTGTATGTATGTGTTTGTGTGTGTATGGCAGGTTATGTGTAGTATATGGTGTGTGTGTGTGTGTGTGTGTGTGTGTGTGTGTGTGTTGAGGGTTAAACCTAGGGCATCACACATGCTAGGAAAGAAAGTTTTTAGGGCCAGCTGCAATGGCCTAGCACTTGAAAGGCAGAGGCAGAGGCAGGCAGATCTCTATGAGATAGAGGCCAGTCAGGTCTAAATATGAGTTGCAAGCCAGCTGGGGCTACAGGGAGACCCTGTCTCAAACCACGCCCCCCCCCCCAAAAAAAAAAGAAAAAATGATACACCCTTTGCTAGGCTGTGTGCAGGGAGGTAAGGAGTCACTGGAAGCAGAAATCTTTGCATGTAGTATTTGTTTTGTTTGCTTGAAATAATCTCTCTGCAGGGGACACTCTGCTCCACCCAAACTTTCAAGGGGAACTCCAGCTACCTGCCTAAATTGTCTTCCCCAATCCACTTCTTTCTTCTTTTTTTTAAATTTAATTTTTAAAAATGTGTGTGAATGTTTTGCCTGCATTTAGGTAACTGCACACATATGCAGTGCCCTCGGGGGTCAGAAGAGGGTGCTGGGTCTCCTGGAACTGGAGTTACAGAAGGTTGTTAGCTGCCATGTGGGTGCTGGGAACCAAACCCCAGTCCTCTGTGAGAGCAGCCAGTGCTCTTGTGTGCTGAGCCAGCTCTCCAGCTCCCGCCCAGTCTTATTTCTGCTGTGTGTGGTGAGCATTTGATGTAAAGATATTTTACATCTGCCTGCTATTTCTATCTGCTACTTGCTATATACATGTTCACTTTTGCTTGCTGTAGTAAGTATAAACTCACTCATTCAAAAGCAAAACACAGTGATTGTAGATCATCCTCCAGATAATACAGGACAGTGTGCTGCCTCCTTGAATTTTATCATCATGGGCACATGAAGACTTCATTTCTTTGGGCTGGTATTTCTTTACATGCAAAATGGGACCTTTATAGTTTTCCTGGTGGGCAGCATGGCCCATAAACCCTCTTCTTAGACCACGTGAGGCAGGACTTCTCTAACATCATGTGGCAATGATGGATATCATATACACCTGTAATCTCAGCACTTGAGAGGCAGGAGGATCAGGAGTTCAAGGCCAGTATGGGCTACATGAGACCCAGAAATAAAGTAAAAAAAAGAAAGAAGAAAAAAAAAATAGGACTGGCAAGATGACTCAGCAGGTAAAGGAGCCTGCCACCAAGCCTGATCTCAGTTCAATCCCTAGGACCCACATAGTGGAAGGAGAGCATTGACTCCCACAAGTTATTCTCTGACCTCTACATGTGTGCTGTGGTACTCATACACTTATAGTCATACAAGAAATAAATATAATAAAATTTTTAAATATTTTATGTGTATGATCATATTGCCTGCATGTATGTAGAAGCACACATGTCATGCAGTACTTAGAGAGGTCAGAAGAGGGCATCAAGATCCCCTGGAACTGGAGTTCCAGATGGTTGTTAGAAGCCTTGTGGGTGCTGGGAACCAAACTCTGGTCCTCTGTAAGAACAGTCAGTGCCCTTAACTGCTGAACCAGCTCTCCAGCCCTAAAAATATTTTTAAAAATAGTGTGCATGTCTTAATTTTCTCAAGTACCAGATTCTGTGGATTTGAGACTAGGATAGATGAACTAGAGAATGAGTGAGAAAAATGGCATCTTTGTGTTCTTTATGCCAACTGTCTTTTCCAGGTGGCCTTTCTACATACCCAGTCTGCCTTCTGGAAAAGAAAAAGGCAGAGAAGATGGTGGCCGACTGCCTGAGAGACTGTCACCAGGTATGCAGAGACTGTTCTACTAGCGTCAAGTGTGCCTGCACTAGACGGACACGTTTCCATCTAGAGGTGACATTCCTAGAACAGGAAATCAGGGGCTGGTCCCCAACTGAATTTCCCAAGAGTAGCACCTCTCTATTGGTAAGATGTGATCTGAATATTCTTGAAGGATTTCAGTTATTACTAATGAAATGTTGATCTTCACAGTGACAGGAGTGTGTTTGTTATTTTGTCAAGTGTTCTGACAGATGTGAAGGTGGAAAATGTATTTTTTGGAGGGATGGGGATGTATCTCAGTGGGTAGAGCACTATCCTAGCATGCACAAGACAATGGGTTCAATCCCAGCACCCCATAAATCAAGTATGATGCACACCTGCCATTCCAGCACTCAGGAGGTGGAAGAAGGAGGATCAGGAATTGAACGTCAACTTTGGCTACATACCAAGTTGGAGGCCACTCTGAGGATACATGAGAATCTGTTCTTCACAAAAACCCTGGGGCCAGTGAGATGGTTCAGAGAGTAAAGGTGCTTGCTGCCAAGCCTAAGACTCAAGTTCCATCCCTGAGCCCACATGGTAGAGGAAAGAACCAATTCCTGCAAGTAGTCCTCTGAGCTCCACACATATGTTATGGTGTATGCACATACTCAATAAACTAAAGAAAAAATAAATTCTCTTAAAAATCAATCCTGGGGCCAGGGAGATGGCTTAGCGGGAAAAATTCTTGCTGTGTAAGTGTGAAGTCCAGAGTTTGAATCCCCAGCACCCACGTAAGTGCCAGGTGGTTGTGGTGTCTCACTTGTAATTCCATCACTCGGGTGGAGACAGGATCCCTGGAGGGAGCCGACCAGCTAGGCTAGCTGAGTAAGTCAGCTCTGGGCTCCAGTGAGAGACTTTGCCACAATATATAACTTGGAGAGAATTGAGAAAGATACCCAGTGTTGACCTTGGACCTCCACGCACATGTGCACATATATGTATTCCCACCTGCACACCTGTGCCCACACACATAACACATATGCAGACACCACATCCACAAGGTAAAAAATAAATAAAAGTCTCTGTCAAAGATTTTTTTTTTTCCCAGTGCTGGGACTTGAACTTATGGCTCATGTCTGCTAGACAAGCTCTATACCATTGAGCTGTTCATCAGTCCTATTTACTCAAGTACATGCTGTGTGCTCAGGAGTGAGTGCATTTTAAGAAAATGAGGCAGTCCCAGCACTTGAGAGGCAGAGGCAGGCGGATCTCTGTGAATTCAAGACCAGCCTGGTCTACATAATGAGTTCTGGGACAGCTGGGGCTACAGGGAGACCCTGTCTCAAAAAGACCAAAAAGGAAAAAAAGAAAATGAGGCGGGGCTGTCAGTTTAGCTGGAGATGGGTCCATGTTTCAGGAGGGCCACTGAAGCCATCTGCCTGTAGGAGATGGACAGTGACTGCGTAGAGAATTCTGATCTCACCGTTCCCTGGGACAGGCAGCAGAAACTCTGCTCTTTATCACTCAGGCTGCTGTGTGTGTAATTTAGGACTCTCTGACCTTTGATGATGTGGCTGTGTACTTCACCCAAGAGGAGTGGGTTTTAATGGACCAAATTCAGAGACACCTCTACAGAGAGATGATGCTGGAGAACTACCAGAACCTGGTCTTGTTAGGTAAGACTGCCATAGCCCCTTGTGGCCTTAGGGAGAAGAGTGATGTTACTTGCTATATGTACTGAAGGACAGGTGATCTCTATCTGGATGCTCCGAGGAACCAACAGGGCCCAGCCTGTGCTACATCAGTGCGTTTTATCCACAGGGGTAAGTTCCAAGATAACCAGTGGGTACCTCAATCTACAGAGAGCCCCTCTGCCATAATATACAGTGTCAATAGTGTTTTGAGATGCAACATCAAAGCTAGTGTGGATTTCTTTTGCCTTCCCAACTTCCAGATTGAGGGTTACTTCTAAAAGCTGGGTATGGGGACCGGGGATGTGCTCAGTGGATAGAGTGCTTGCCTAGCAAGTGTGAAATTCTGAGTTCTAGCCCCAGCACTACTTAATACTGGGTATGGTGTCTTATGTGGTGGCACATGCTTTTAATCCAGCACTTGGGAGACAGAGGCAGGTGGGTCTCTATGAGACCGAGGCTAGCCTGAACTATAGGGAGACCCTGTCTCAAAAAAAAAAAAAAATTATAGTGATAACCTGTCCCAAAAAATCAAAGCAAAACAAACAAAAGAAAAGAAAAGCAAAGAAAATAGGGGCTGTAGCACTGGCTCAGTGGTTAAGAGCACTTGCTGCTCTCTGAGAGGCCCAGAGTTCAGTTACCAGAACCCGCATTGGGTAACTCATAACCACCTGTGATTCCAGCTTAAAGAGGGAGACAGATAAGAAAATAAACCTTGGAGCTGGAGAGATGGTTCAGCGGTTAAGAACACTGGTTGTTCTTGCAGAAACCTGAGTTCGAATCCCAGCACCCATATAGCCGCTAACAATTGTCTGTAACTCCAGTCCCAGAGGATCTGACAGCCTCTTCTGACCTCCACAGTTTTTTTTTTACAAATTCTATTTATTTATTTTATTTTATGTGTATATGTGTATTGCCTGCATGTAGGTAAGTGCACCTCTGTTGTGCAATGCCTACGGAGGTCAGAAGAGCCAGGTAGGAACAGCCAGTGTTCTTAACCACTGAGCCATCTCTCCAGCCCCAATAAATCTTTTTAAAAGGGGGGGAGGATTAGGGAGATGACACAGCTGTAAAGTGCTTGACACAAAAGCAAGAGGGCCTGAGTTCAGATCCTCAGCATCTGTATAAAAAAGCTAGGTGTAGCAGCAGTGCCTGTAATTCCAGCACTGGAGAGATGGAGACAAGGGGATCCCTGGGGCTTGCTGGCCAATCTAGCTGAATGGGTGAACTCCAGGTGCAGTGAGAGACTTGTCTCAAAAAATAAGGTGGAGGGCTGGAGAGATGGCTCAGAGTTTGGAAGTGCTGACTGCTTCTGCAGAGGACCTGGGTTCAATTCCCGGCACCCACATGGTAGCTGACAACTGTCTCTTTTGGGGGTGCGCTTTTTGAGACAGGGTCTCCCTGTAGCCCCAGCTGGCCTGGAACTTCCGATGTAGACCAGGCTGGCCTCGAACTCACAGAGATCTGCCTGCCTCTGCCTCCCGAGTTCTGAGATTAAAGGCAAGTGCTACCATACTGGGTGACAACTGTCTCTAACTCTAGTTTCAGAGGATCAAACACCTTCTGTGGCCTCCTTGGGCAATGCACTGATATACGTGCAGACAAAACACTCACACACATAAAATAAAGCTAAATTTTTTTTAAAACTCCAGTTCCAGGGGATTCTATGCCCCCTTCTGACCCCCAGGCATTGCATAACACAGGTGCACTTATATGTATACATGCACAAAAATAAATAAAAAAAAATAAATAAAGTGGAAAGTAATAGAGAGAAACAGTTTATATCAACCTCTGGCTTCCATATGCGTAGGTACATATATGCACAACACACATGCACACACACACACAAAAGAGGGGCCAGGGCCTGGTGTGGTGATACATGCCTTTAATGCCAGCATTTGGGAGATGAAGCAGGTAGGTGTCTGTGAGATCAAGGCCAGCCTGGTCTACGTAGTGAGACTTAGGCCAGTTGCTGGAGCTACAGGGAGACCATGTCTAAAATTTAAAAAAAAAAAAAAAACTTTTTAGAAAGAGCTGTGGAAATGGCTCAGTCAATAAAGTGCTTGCACAGGACCTAAGTTCAGTCCCCAGCACCCACATCAAAAACTGGGTGTACTTGTAACCTCAGTGCTGGGGAGGTGGAGAAAGAGGATCTGCAGGGCTCACTGTTACGTCAGCCTAGTCTAATCAGTGAGCCCCAAGCCCCATGAGAAACTGTCTCAAAATAAGCTAGAACCCAGCGTGGTGGCACATGCCTTTAATCCCAACACTCAGGAGGTAGAGGCGGGTGGATCTCTGTGAGATTGAGGCCAACCTGGTTTACAGGCCAGCTGGGGCTACAGGGAACAGGAAGACCCTGTCTCAACAAAACATAACAAAACAAAACCCAACAACAACAACAAACAATTTGGAAGGCCGAGGAGATAGCTCAGTGAATACGGCATCCATAGTTTGGATCCCTAGAACCCACATAAAATCTGCATAGGCACAGTGGCTGCCTGCAATGCTAGCACTCAGGAGGAAGACCAAGGAGCCCTCAAGAAAGCTGGCTAGCTAGACGAGCCTGAGTTGATGAGCTCTGGATTGAACAAGAGCTCCTACCTCAGTATAGGTGAAGAATGATCAAGGAAGACACCCAGTGTCAACTTTAGGTCACATACACAGATGCACACGTGCACGTGAGCATGCATACACAACAAACTGGAGGGCTCCACATGTGTGCATAAACACTCATGCACACAGGCACATGCACGCACAGGGAATGAGGGAGGGAGGCTCCTGAATTCATCCTAAATTTGTTTCTGTCTTGCACAAATATCTTTCTCTACCTATAGGAAGTGAGGTCATCAAACCCACCCTGATCTCCTGGTTGGAGGAAGAGGACTTGCAGACAGTGCAGAGAGATTTCCAAGGTGAGTATTCATGAAGAACAGCTGTGATCAGGAAGTTCCTTAATGTGTGAAAGTGATAAAGCTTTTTTTCCCCCTTTGAAATAGGGTCTCACTGTGTAGTCCAGGCTGGCCCCCACAATCTTCCTGCCTCTACCTTCTGTGTTCTAGAATTATAGGTGTGCATCACCTAATGGAACTTTTTATTTCAGTATTGGGATTTAGTTTGACAGGCAAATGCTCTACTGCTGAGCTGTATCTCCTGTCCTCTAATGAAACTTTTAAAGATGTAGTTGACCTCTGAAGGTTTGGGCCATTTATCTGAGAAGGCAGGCATTCTAAACTTATACTTTCTGTCTGCTTAGACTTTTCCTGCAATCTCACAAGATGGCCTGGTATGCGTCTTTGTTATTTACTGTGTTTGGATCTCTGGTCCTTTTCATCTCTGATAATGTTCCTGGTCACCATCAGTTTTTTTCATTTTATTTTTCGTGTCTGTGTGTTTTGCTGTTGTCATTTCTCTTTTTTTGTTGTTGGTTTTTTTTTTTTTTTTTGGTTATTGTATTTTATTTTATGTTTATTTTCAGTTTTTATTTTATTTAATTTTTAATTTTTGGTATTTTTGAGGCAGGGTCTCCCTGTAGCCCCAGCTGGCCTGGAACACACTCTGTAAACCAGGCTGGCCTTGAATTCACAGAGATCCCCTTGCCTCTGCCTCCTGAGTGCTGGGATTAAATGCATGTGCCACCACGCCCGGCTCAAATTTTATATTAAGGAAGCAATTTGTAGTTACTGTCTAAAACTACAACTTACAAGATTACCCTTTTTCAAGTTTTTTGTTTGTTTGTTTTTATTTCTCTTTTTGTGTTTTAAGACAGGGTTTCCCAGTATCCACAGCTGGCCTGGAACTGACTTTGTAGACCAGGCTGACTTCAGTCTAACAGTGATCTGCTTGCCTCTGCCTCCCACTCCCAAGTGCTCAGATTAAAGGCATGTGCCACCATGCCCAGCCTTCAAGATTTTATTTATCTATTCTGATTTTTTTTTTTTTTTTGGTCTTTTTGAGACAGGATCTTCCTGTAGTTCCAGCTGGCCTGGAACTCGCTATGTACACCAGACTGACCTCAAACTTACAGAGATCCACTTGCCTCTGCCCCCAAGTGCTGGGACTAAAGGTGTGCGCCACCATGCCCAGCTTAAACTTATTTTTATTTTATGTGTATAAATGTTTTGCCTGCATATATGTAAATGCACCATTGCATGCAATACCAAGGAGGCCAGAAGAAGGCATGAGATTCCCTGGAACTGGAGTTACAGATGGTTGTTAGCCACTATGTGGTGCTGGGAACTGAACCCAGGTCCTCTGCAAGAGTAGCCAGTGCTCTTAACCACTGAGCCAGCTCTTCAGCTCTCCTCCTCCTCCTCTTCTGCCTCTTCTTCCTCCTCTTCTTCCTCTTCTTTTTTTGGGGGGATAGGGTCTCATAGTGTAGCCCTGGCTACTCTCAAACTCAGCAATCCTGCCTCAACCTGCCAAGTGTTAGGATTACAGGTGAGATGCACCACACGGGACAAGACCTGTTACTTTCTACTCCTGCCTCTTGCCTCTTCTATCTGTAAATCTCAATTTTGCTTGTTTTTCTGTTTGTTTTTAGAATGGGAAATGCCAGTCAACACCAATGAGTCAACATTTCAGCAGGATTCTTTGAGGGAACCAACTTCCAACAGTGTGCAAATGGTAAGAGTAACCAAGGATTTTTGGTAGTCCCCACAGCCTGAAAAGACTATAAATGCCATTTTTGCAAATAAGTAGTGTTCATTGTGGGTGAGGGGATTGGGGAAAGTAGCCTTTTTTTTTTTTGTCTTTTTGAGACAGGGTCTTCCTTTAGCCCCAGCTGTCATGGAACTCACTATGTAGACTAGGCTGGCCTAGATCTCACAGAACTCTGCCTGCGTCTGCTTCCTGAGTGCTAGGATTAAAGTCCTGAAAATAGCTTTTTTTTTTTTTTTTTTGGTCTTTTTGAAACAGGGTCTCCCTGTAGCCCCAGCTGGCCTGAAACTCACTATGTAGACCAGGCTGGCCTTGAACTCACAGAGATCCGTCTGCCTCTGCCTCCCAACTGCTGGGGCTACAGGCATGGAGATATCCGCCATATAGTGGTGCCCCAAACCCATTCTGAAACCAAATCCTTCAAGGTTCCCACAGGTGCACATTTCTACATGTATAACTACATGCTGACTTTTTAAATTTGTTTGTTTTTTGAGACAGTCTCCCTATAGCCCCAGCTGGCCTGGGACTTGCTACTTAGGCCAGGCTGGCCTCAATCTCACAAATATCCCCTGCCTCTGCCTTTTGAGTGCTAGGACTAAAGGCATGCGCCACTATACCTAGCTTGACTTTTTATTTATTTGTTTTATACATGTGTGCCCGTGTGCATGTGCATGCGTGTGTGTGTGTGTGTGTGTGTTGTGTGCGTGCTAGTGCATGTTGCCAGGGCACATGCATGCCCATGGGCGAGTGTGGAGGTCGTACAGCTTTCTGGAGTCGGTTCTCTCTCCAGCCTTGTTGAGACAGGCTCTCTCTTGACCTGCCACTGCACCAGCTTCTGTCTAATTCTCCTGTTTCTGCTTCCCCTTTCAGTAGGAGTGCTGGGATTACAGATGCATGCCTCTGCCTCTGACTTTTTACTTTGACTTTGAGGAAGGCTCTCACCTTGTTAGGCTTGCATGGCAAGTGCTTTTACCAGCTGACCTATTGTTGCGCTAAACTTTCCCCTCCACCCTGAGAGACCCGTGCTCACTCAGGGTCTTATGATTCTAATGCTGATTGACAAAACCAACATAATACCTTCTATTTGGGTTTTACATAGTTTATGACATCTGGGAGGGGGTGATTTACAAAGGCATAAATTCTCATAGGCTTTTTCTTTTCCATATTTAAAATGCATGTGCAATCAGCATGTCGCGCCCACAGTCTCCATCAGCTTTTCCTTTGCACTGTTTGCCTGTGGTTCAAGGCTCCATCTACAAAATGGTGACAGTTCCGTGTTTTCAGCATCTGTCCTTAGATCTGCCTCCACTTCATGCAATTGATGCTGACTGATTGGGTGGGAAGAGTGGCTGTCCAGAGGACACGCCTACCCAACAACCCACCCCTTCCTCCGGCTCTTAAAATTTTCTGCCCACCTCTTCTGCAAGGGTCCCTAAGCCTTGGAGGGGGCGACAGATGCAGGATGATCTCTCTTGTATTGTAGCCTCCCCATCATTCATCTTTAAGATGTGGCCACTGATCCATCTCAGTGATGTCTCCCCTACTATAAAGACAAATGGAAGGAAGTAGACACATCTAAAAAAACACAGACGTAAATACAAATGCCTAGAAGATATCCCAGTAGGCATACCATATTCATCAAACAGTATACTTGCAGCAGCTTCCTCACTGGGGCCTGTAGCCTTCTCTAACACAAGGGGTTGGTCTGGTCTATAGCACCAGATGTGTGTTCAACCCCTAGGAGCAGGCCTTATCCAATTAGAAATTTGTCAGTTGTACATATGTTAGTTGAGCCATTATTACATCAACAGGCATTGCTTGTCATGTCAATAGTGTGCAGCACTCGGGGTCCATCGTCGAGCAGAATCATAGGGAATCCTATTTCCCCAACCATCTGCATAGTGCCTTCTGGCACTGGGAAAGCCATCCAGCCAGTGGCATGGAGTTTTCAGCTTAGTCTCAGCTCTGTCTCTCCTTCTCCCACACTCACATCATGCAGTGTCTTCAACGACATGGCCTTACCAACCTTTTCTATTGTATAACTGACATTAGTGGCAATAGCCTTGGTTAATTTGAGGACCTCTAGGCTCTCTCTGTTCATAAGGGGGCAACCCACCCCTGGTACCGTAATTTTTTCTTAACAGGTGTACAGTTTTGAGAGCCTTTGTTTTTACTTTTATACAGGATTAGGTGTTGTAGGCTTTTCCCAATCATCCCAGTGGGTATCACTTGTGTCTTACCCAACCATAAAGCTCCCAAGAATCTTACAGCTATAGTTAGCCTTTGTTTCTTCAGGTGTACTTGATATCTTTCAAATGGGTTTCACATCTATAAAACATTCAAAGGTCAATATCATATATTAAATCAATCATAGACAAGATCTAACACAGTGTGGAAAGGCTTTATCCATTTGTATTGTTTTCTCCGTAGATCTCTATTGGGTACCAAGCATGGGTAAGAGGCATTAATTGGGTTAGTTCTTTACTATCTTTAGTTATCCCTTTGGAGTCATTCTGCATTCTGGGGCTTTTACACAGAGTCTCTTTGTATCTTCTTTTTTTAATATTTTATTTATTTTTTATATGTATGTGTGTATTGCCTATGCAATACACTCATGTCGTGCAATGCCCATGGAGGACAGAAGAGGCCGTCGAATCCCTTGGAACTGGAATTACGAACAGTTGTTAGCTGCCATGTGGGTGCTGGGATTCAAACCTGGGTCTTCTGCAAGAACAGTGCTCTTAACTGCTGAGCCATCTCTCCAGCCCCTCTTTGTATCTTTTTATCCTTGATACATTCACAGGTGCTGGCTCCAGTTGCCTAACCCTGCACTGGGCTAAGGAGGCAGAGGGTCTCTCTTGTCCCTGCTGCACCTGTTGGTTCCCTGAGTCAGGCAGGCCCTAGGTCTGCCTCCTCGCTGTAGCCATATCTGCCGCCTCTCCATTGACCATGCATAGCTGCTGGGGAAGGCTCTGGTGGGACAAACTGCCTCCACCCCTAGCATAACCTTTCTCAGGAGAGAAATGTACCTTATTTAATCTTTGGGGATCCTTAACCACCCCTGGGACAGTTTTTATCCTCTCAATGCCTTTTGTGAACTTTTCTTCGGGTTTTAAAGCCTTCCAGATACTCCTTAGTACCAAATTTGGTTTTCTATCCTTTTTTTTCTTTGGGAATTTGGGCTTGACATAAATCTTGCCACATTTGTCTTTGAGTAACCCAAACAGACCACTTTTTCTGTCTTGTCTTTTTTATATGTCTTGGAGGTTGCTCTAGTATTCTACAGTCACACTTTATACACTGGTTTGAGTCACTTAGATCTGCCAAAGCCTGCCTTACTTTACAAAGATCCCATCCCATTAAGGGACTTAGCAAAACCATTAAAGCTCCATACCATTTAGAGATCCCAGTTGAATTAATCTTTCCTTTATATCTCTGGTGAACACAGCCCTATCTGGCCTAGCGAACTGGGTATCATTTGTTGCCTTCCTTATACCTGGTTCTCTCAGTGACACCTGTCCCTCTTCTGTGGTCCTCCAGCCCTGCTAATCATAGGAATCTTCATTGGTGAAGATTGCACAAGCCATTCCATTAGGGACTGCTCCCCCCATGTATTGCCCTAGGTTAAACAACCTATGTCTCAAGAACAGGCAGGTTATGTAACTCAGCTGTAAGGCGTCTAAAGGACTTAAACTGATATTATTTGCTCCCATGTCCCATACCCTCACAAGCCGCATCGTGAGGGGCTCTTTAATGGATTGTTTGAAAGTTTTCTAATCCCAACAGCTCCAGTGTGGAGTATTTTCTCCTACCTACAGTACTGTTAACATTTTTCTCTTTTTGCATCAAAGATTGAATCTGAGGGGCAACTTTACCCACTTTCATTTTTAGGTTGTTTCTTTTCTCATTACTCTTGGTCTTTTTCCCTGGGTCCTTTGATACCTAAACTTAAGCAAGTTAAAATCTCTGTTTTTTTTCTCTCTCTCAAGCTCTGAGGCTGAGACTGAATTTGCCAGTAACTCCTTAGTCTTTTCAGCCTCCTGGGGCTGTTGCCTTTGCAGTGGACAAATCTTTAATTATGTAAAGAAGTGGCCAGGCCGTTTCTCTGGATTCTTCTCTTGCATCCAAGGCTTCTAAAATTTATTTCTAGGCTCTCCACAATCCTTAAAGAGTTTTCAGACACCTGTGGTAGCAGCTCCCATTTTTCAAGCAACTGAGCTATTTTCCCACATTCACAAAATGACAGTGACCCAGGGGTTTCCTTTTTGAGCAGCCCACATCATTTTGCACATTTCACGATGCGTTGTATAACTCATGTGACTGCTGCTAACTCCATTGCTTTTCCCAGTTTCTGCATTTTGTTTCCAGTGTCATCCTGCCGGCTGAGCCACTTTGTTGCACTAAATTTTTCCCTTCCCCCCAGAGGCCCATGGTCACTCAGGGTCTCGAAGTTCTAATGTGGATTGACAAAACTGACATAATACCTTCTATTTGGGTTTTGCATAGTTCATGATATCTGGGAGGGGTGACTTACAAAGGCACAAATTCTTTTAGGTGTTTTCTTTTCCATATTTAAAATGCACTTGCCATCAGTGTGTCCCACCCAAGGTCTCCATCAGCCTTTCATGTGCTTTTTGCCTGAGGTTTGTGGCTCTGTCTACAAAATGCAACACAAAGTGGCACAACATGTGTTTTCAGCATCTGTTCTTAGACCCGCCCCTCCATGCAATTGAGTCTGACTGATCGGGTGGGAGGAGTGGCTGTCTCAGAGGACATGCCTACCCAACAGCTATCTTCCTTGCTTTTTAAAGCAACTCTATAAAATTTTAACAAATTGGGTATTTTTGGTCTTTCTTTTTTTTTTTTTTTGAGACAGGGTCTCCCTGTAGTCCCACCTGTCCTTTAACTCACTATGTAAACCAGGCTGGCCTCGAACTCATTATATCTTTATTCTTTGTTTTTTAGGGGTTTTTTTTCTATTCCTTATTTTCATACAATATATTTTGATCAGATTTAGCTCCACTCCCATATCTGTACACACACACACACACACACACACACACACACACACACACACACAGAGTCCTTCCTAACCCCTGCCTCATTAACCTACTAAGAGTCTCACCCTTAAATCAGACTGAATCTCCTCTTCCTAGTATCCCTTGGTTACCAATAGTTCCTTAGATAGGGTTGGTGTTTCTTACCCACTTCCCTACTTCTATACATGGATTTTGTCTGCCTTGAGCTTACATTGTATATACTGTCACCATTACATCAGCAACTTTTAAGAATGCCGTGAAAGGGGCTGGAGAGATGGCTTAGTGGTTAAGAGCACTGACTGCTTTTGCAGAGGACACAGGTTCAGTTCTGAGCACCAACATGGCGGTTAGCCACTGTCTGTAACTCCAGTTCCAAGGGATCTGACACCCTCTTCTGACCTCTGCAGGCACTGTATGACTCAGGTGTACTTACACAGATGCAGGCAATACACTCATACATAAAAATAAAAGATAGCCGGGCATGGTGGTGCACACCTATAATCCCAGCACTCGGGAGGCAGAGGCAGGCAGATCTCTGTGAGTTCAAGGCCAGCCTGGTCTACAAAGTGGGTTCCAGGACAGCTGGGGCTACAGAGAGACCCTGTCTCAAAAAG